CTAGTGTCAAATCTGGACAATGTGATATTAAAAATGTTCATTATGGATGCGGACCTGATTCTCTCGAACTAAAGAATTTCTACTCAGAGGTCGTGGACCAGTCTCAACAATGCACTTAAGCGCGGTGATACGTAGATGCGCGCCTGTGGTAGGAGCATGCATATGAACTGAACATGGAGAAGGCTATCTCCGGTTACTGCTAACCCTTGTCAATGCATGAGGTGCTCATTCAACACCTAAAAACTCAAGTGGTAGGAAGGCAGCCAGTATGGTCAACGGGGAAAAGTGCGGTACCGATGAAATGGAATCAATTCTATAGGTAACCCTTGAAGTAACACTTTAATGCTGCACTTAATTCAGCAAATTACCCAGCAAAACACAATGATTTGTAGTAAATCAGTAATAAATCAGAATAACTAAGAAAATAGCGAAAAAGGCCTAATATATCAATCAGTTACCAAAGCTTCAACTTCCTCAGTGATAATTCTGCTCGCTTTTAGGAGGTCTGCAAAAGAGGTGTAGAGAGCAAACGGCGCAAGACGAATAAAGCACGGCCTCCGGGTGTCACAAATTACGCCCCTTTTAATCAGTCGGTCGTACAACTTATCCACATCGACATTGACTTTGATGGAGAGTTGAGAGCCACGAGACTGTGGATCACAGGGTGTAATTATCTCCAACCCTGGGGACTGAGCAATAGGGCTATTTAAGAGAAGGGATTGTAGGTAACCCGTCAGCATAATTGACTTTTCGCGAATAGGGATCATTCCACCGGCCTCAGCAAAAATTTCCAATGAAGAGGTCAATGCGGAATTGAGTAACATTGATGGACACGATCGGCGATACGAATCCGCTCCACCCTCCACCTCCATCATGTTGGTCATCTGAAAACGAGTAGAGTAGCGATGTCCCCACCAACCCGTCAGCACTGGTGCATATTTGTGTCCACTTGTAGGCGCAAAGTCTCCAGGCTTAAGGAAGTGCTTTTCGTGTACAAAGATACCAGCGCAGCCACC